TCTAATATTAACAACAACTGACAATACCAAACATAGTCAAAGATGTTTTACAACTGAAGCTCCCATCCACCACAGCGGGGAATCTGAAACAGGGAAACATACTGAAAACTGTCTGGCCATTCCTGGCCTCATGTGCACTGAGAGACATGTATAAAAATAACAGTCAAGGGCCTCCCCAGTGGCGCAGTGGTTGAGTGCTGGGTTGTGAAGCTGCCCACAGCCTCTACAGCACCGGTTCGATCCCCCGCTGCTCCCCGCCCACCGGAGGAGGGTCCCACATGGCGCACAGACCTCTCCTGCCACCCGCTGCTCCCCTCAGCAGTGTACTTCGGGCCTTCTGCCTGCTCTTCTCCCCACTCTGGCTCTGGTGAATTCTCTCATCACCCTCCCGCGCTTCTGACTGTACCCAGTGCTTGTGTAAGTAAATAAAATAAATCTTTAAAAAAAAAAAAAATAACAGTCAAAGTTTTAGTCAAGAAGCCACAAATCAGAAATGACCCAAAGCTGCATAAACAGAGAATGGGAACATGCCTTCTGGAATATTCTCACAGTGATAACAAACTGCTACATGTGATAATTTTAATGAACAAGTACATATTGAATGGCTCAATGCTTATGAGCTTTAAAAGGAAATCCTGTAGATGGAGATAGAATGGGAGACCCGATGGAGGTGAGGTGGGCTGGGAGAGAGTGTAAGGAGATTCCCGGCACTCTGTTTTGTATGTTGGTTTGGGTGGGGTGTTCTCATAGCAACCTCTCCTATACGTTAGACTTCAGCACAGAAGTAAATGAATAATGAAAGAAAAGTGCATACTGTGCATCATACGTACCTTGGTTTCACCCCAGGTGGCCCTGCCAAAATCCTCAGCGTACTCTTCATCATCTGTAATCAGGAAGTTATCAAAGATGGTTCCAGACCTCACCTATGGATGACAATAAGGCCTTCCTTATGGACTTGAGAAATGTAGCAACTTCACATCAAGAAACAGTTATAGGGCCTCCCTGGTGGCGCAGCGGTTGAGCGCTGGGTTGTGAAGCTGCCCGCAGCTTCTGCAGCGCAGGTTCGATCCCCGGCTGCTCCCCAGACACCAGAGGAGGATCCCACATGGCGCGCAGACCTCTCCTGCCGCCCGCTGCTCCCCTCAGCAGTGTGCTTCAGTCCTTCTGCCTGCTCTGCTCCCCGTTCTGGCTCTGGTGAATTCTCTTACCCTCCCGCGCTTCTGACTGTACCCAGTGCTTGTATAAATAAATAAATAAACAAACAAACAAATAAATAAATCTTTAAAAAAAAGTTATATTTTCCCTAGGATTTAAACCCATTTCTAGAATAAATATTCTGAACAAGGGTCCTCAAACTCAGGTCCATACTGGGAAGGTAAGGAACATTTTTAAAAATTCTGAGGCCCGGTCTCACCCCCAGGGCTCCTGATTTAAGTGGTATGGGCATGGAGGCTTTGAGAAGCTCCCCAGCAATGAATCCCACATTCAGCAATGAGAGAAACACAGGTGAGAGCCTTGTGTGCTGTGAACCGGCAGTGCTGTCCTGGAGCTGCCTAGTAATGCAGAAGAATCTCAGGCTCTCCCCCAGCCACCCACCTATCAGAACCTGCCATCTTGTCCTAAAGCTGATGGATGTCATGGGTCACTTCCAAGCAGAGGAGTAACAAATTCCCAAAGGGAGGGAAGGACATATTTTGTCCGCAGTTGCGTGAACTGAGTCTACACAGGGAAGCCTGGTACAATAAGAGCTCAAGAAATAGCAGTTATGTGAATTAAAGCATTTAGGCTGAAGTTCAGGGTTATTGAACCAAGCTAAATTTAAAACCAGTGACCTGCCAAAGCTCCAGTCCAATGGCACCAATGTTCTCAAATTCAGAGAGGTCGTATTCTGTCAAATAGTTGGTGTTTTTCAGCTTCTGATGGAGCCAGACATCTTTGTCTATACCCTCTGGTTTCAGGCCATCCTGCAACAACAAACTGTACATGGTGGTCCCAGATGACAGGGGAAGGAAGGGGGCAGCCTGGGAGGGGCCCAGGCATGGTAAGAAGAGGAGGCCACACCTGATAGGGAGGCTTCTGTAGCATCGGTGCCTGCCAGTCCCCATCCAGTTCACTATTCCAGTCGCTTGGCTTGCTGGCACTGGCATCCAGAAATTGCTTCTCCCAATCCTTAAAACATGTATAAAGAAAAAAAAATATATACATATATATATTTATCTTTTCTCAGCTTTGAGAAAGGACATTCTTAGCTAGCAAGAGCACAGGTCAGGCTTGTGACTATGGTGGCAATTTTCCCCTCTCTCAATTTGGTATCAGAAGGTTGGGTGTTCAGGGTTCCTCAGTCTACAAGGGGCCCTGGAAATTTGTCTGTGATTTCAGAACTTTCCCCCATCCTGTACAGAGGAAGGACAATATGGAAAACTCAAAATAGTAGCTGAAGTTAAAATGATGGTGGGAGGAGCTACATATTTATTGCTGCTCAAGTTAGGCTATGTCTGCGCTTCCACAACATGATCACATGTGGACTATTCCAGAGACACAGACTGTCAACTAAGAAACTTTCCAAGATTTACCAGGGGTGGGGGGGATAGCTGTTAACAGGAGAAACAGTTATATTATTGTGTCCTTTTATATATAACCATTCACACTATTCACATATGGATAGCTCCAAGTATGTATATATACTCTCATATACAGTATCCCTCTTATCCATGTGGAGAAGTTCCAAGACTCCCAGTGGATGCTCTGTGGATAGTACCAAACCCTCTATCTACTATGTTTTTTCCTAGAAATAAATACCTATGGTAACATTTAATTTACAGACACAGTAAAGGATTGACAATAAGAAATAACAAAGTAGAACAATTATAACAATATACTATAATAAAAGTGATGTAAAAATGGTCTCTATGTTTATCAAAATATCTTATTGTATGGTTTACTTTTGGACCTTTGTTGATGATGAAATCACAAAAAGTGAAACCGTGGATAAGGGGGAATTACTGTATAACTCTGCATATATACACAGATATATATATATATAATAATTTACAAGCAGATTAATAATTACATGCTATATGTATGCATACATATGCATGTGTGCATGCATGTGTATGTATATCTGTGTACACATATGTATATATGAATATATAGAGAGTGAGTCACATGTTACATGGTGGCATTTTGGTCAAGGAGGGACTGTATAGGTCCCAATTGGTTGGTTAGAAGATCATCTAGATCCAGGTGCATAGTAGACTGTATCATATAGGTTTGTGTAATTGCTCTCTGTAACACTGGCACAACAACAAAATCACCTAACATCACATTTCTCAGTACACATCCCTGTCATTAAGCAATGTATGACTATGTATACACATACACATACACGCACACATACACATACACATGACTCAGCGTTGAATAAATATTTGTTGACTAAATGAAGGGATAAAAAAAGTTTCTGGGCCTCCCCTGGTGGCGCAGCAGTTGAGCGCTGGGCTGCAAAGCTGCCCACAGCCTCTGCAGCACCCGTTCGATCCCTGGCCACCGACAAGGGTCCCACATGGCACGCAGACCTCTCCTGCCGCGACCGCTGCTCCCCTCAGCAGTGTATTTTGTCAGTCTGCCTGTTCTGTTCCCCTCTCTGTCTCTGGTGAATTCTCTTACTCTCCCGTGCTTCTGACTGTACCCAGTGCTTGTATTAAAAAAAAAAAAGAATAATGAGGAAATTGAAAAAAAAGTTGCTGTGGATTAATATTCAGATAAACACATATGAAAGTCTTCAAAATGGTGGTTTATCTTTTAGGATTACTGAAAAATATTAAACCTCCTGCACCTAGACTATGGCTTTTCTGTGACACTCTGTGACTTCTCAATAACTGATTTATGGGATTTAGTCATCTCCCATACTACTTTTTGTCTCCAGAATCCCAACTGGGAACAGATATGCCATATTTATGTTGGGTACCAGGAAATTACAATTCAATCTAAGTAGACAGATTCTCATAATTGTGGGATGTGTGTGTGTGTGTGTGTGTGTGTGTGTGCATGTGTCATGAAGTAATTTGTTTAGGAGCTCACACAGAACAGAACTGAACATGCAGCCAGCTTGGGAATGCACTTCTGGAAGGACAATCACCCCCAGGTCCTATGCCTGGGTTTTTCAGGCAAACCCAAGTCCTTTCTGCCGAGAAAACCAGGGTTTCAGTACCAAGACTTGTGTAGGCCAGGAATGCAGGGTCAAGTTTTTTGTCATTCTGTTTAAAGAAAATGCTCTTTCCTGGTGAAAAGTACTTCTTGGGTTTGTTTTGAAGGTAAGAAAGGAGGGAAACTAGCTATTTTGATTTAGTAATTACATGCAGCCTAAGATGAAGTATTTGATTATTAAACAGGAATGCCACACAGGGCTTCCCCGGTGGCGCAGCTGTTGAGCGCGGTGTTGCGAAGCTGCCCGCAGCCTCTGCAGTGCCGGTTCGATCCCCGGCTGCTCCCCGGCCACCAGAGGAGGGTCCCACATGGCGCGCAGACCTCTCCTGCCGCCCACTGCTCCCCTCAGCAGTGTACTTCGGTCCTTCTGCCTGTTCTGCATCCTGCTCTGACTCTGGTGAATTCTCTCGCCTTCCCGCGCTTCTGACTGTACCCAGTGCTTGTATGAATAAATAAATAAATAAATAAATCTTAAAAAAAAAAAACAGGAATGCCACTAATAAGTTTTAAGTTGTCAGAAATTCTTTTTTTCCTTTAGAATTATTTTATTAAATCATAAATGTACAACAGCTTCTTAACTCTACACATGCACTTAATTTTTTTAAAGGAAAAAAACGTTATGTCTTATTACATCATGATCCTGGCTAATAGCTTTTCAAAACTTTTGAGAAAATTTTAAAAAATGTTTCACATGTCACCTGAAACTTACAAATTTAACATTATCAAAGAAGGAATGCTTCTAACACTCTTACAAAGACCACTAGAAAGAAACAATTAAAAAACTAAGAAACTGTCTCAAAGGCATTTTTTTCCAATCTTTCCTCCACAGTAAGGTAATGTTATTAAATAATTCAATCCATTCACAAAATGGCTCTCTGCATCTGCTCTGGTGTCTTCTGCCATATCACTGCATATTTATGCATGACTGAGATAAGAGTTTCCTTAACATTATTATTTCGATAACCTGAAGCTGGTCTGTTAACCTCTGGGCTCTCATCCTCTCCTCTATACAGTGAAGCCCATGGCAAATAGGAAGAAGCTCAATATCGGCTTCTCCCTCCATAACCCCCACTTCCGCCACTGCCTCCTGGACCATAGTTTCCTCCACCATATGGTCCCCCCATGCTACCAACCAAAGTTTACACTTTTCATTGGACCATAGTTAGAAGGTTGTTGGTTATAGTTTCCAAAATCATTATAATTTCCACTTCCATAATTTCCTCCTCCATAGTTGTCATAACCACCTCCGTAGCCCCCACCCTGGTTGCCACATCCAGGTCCTCCACCACCAAATCCTCCTCTTCCTCCTCCATAACCAGGGCTACCTCCAAAATTGCCACCTCCAGGTCCTCCTCCATACCCATTATAACCATCCCCAAATCCACGACCACTTCCATACCCATCAGATCCTCCTCTAAAGTTACTTCCGGGTCCTGGTCCAAAATTTCCACCACCACCACGAGAGTCCCCAAAACCAAAGTTTCCTCCTCTTCCACTTCTAGAACTTTGTACTTCCTGCATTTTGTACTTCCTGAGAAAGGACAAAGCCTTTCTCACTTCTGCGTTATGACCATTGATAGTATGGTATTTCTGCAACACAATCTTATCCACAGGATCATGGTCATCAAAAGTAACAAATCCAAAGCCTCTTTTCTTCCCAGACTGCCTATCAGTAATTATCTCAATGGTATCAATTTTTCCATATTCCTCAAAGTAATCTCTAAGATGATGTTCCTCAGTATCTTCATTAATCCCACCAACAAACAGCTTCTTCACAGTCACATGAGCCCCAGGTTTTCCAGATTCCTCTCTTGCTACAGTACGTTTTGGCTCAACCACTCTTCCATCGATAGAATGAGGTCTGGTGGGGGGGCGGAGCAACATGGCGGCGAGGAGACGCTGCGAGTAAGATCTCCCATTAAAAAAAGTGAATAGGGAGGAAAAGCGGCAGGTCCCAGTGAGAACTGGGACACGGAAGATAAACGGGTGACGCCAGCAAACTACCCGAAGAAGAAACTGGCCATAAAAGAGGACTAGAAGGGAGGGAAGCGCAGAACCCTGCTCCCCTCCCCCGCCCACAGAGGCGGCACTCTCCGACCCGCAGAGAGGAGGAAACAACAAACCAAAACGGCCCACAAGAACAAACGACGCAGCAAGCGGGACTGTGAGCGGAAAGGAACTATTGCAGCCACCACACCCCGTGAACGGGAGCTGAGGCGAACCCTGCAGGATCCGCCGCGGCGGTGAGCGAACGGCTCCGGGCGCCATTAGAGAAGAACAAAGACCCCGGGAGACGCGCACACAGCCCGGGCTGCCGGTAAGCTGGCGCGGAAACGCGGAGTGCTCGGCACGCTTGAAAAGCAAGTGCAGACCTGGATCGCGGCTGCCCAGGTCCCCGCGCCTGCGACCTAGGCTTGCGGGGAGACGACCTAGGCTTGCGGGGAGACGCGCGGAGGTCCTCACTGAGGTGAAGGTCCCTCCCTGAGTAAGCAGGATCCAGGCACCCAGGCACGGGAGCAGTGCAAAAGGCGCCATTCCCGCGCCACTGAACTGGGCTACAGCCCGCGTCCTGGAACTGAGGGCTTTGAACTGAGACCCGGGGCACGAAAATTCGGGGCGTGGTTTCTCCACGACGGTGGGGCACAAGGCAGACACAGCACCCCAAAGCTGTTGAGGTGTACCCTACCATTCCCGCTCTGTTCTCTGTCCCACGGGGTGGGGGAGGCGAAAAACAGCCCCCCAAGGACAATAGGAGAGATCTCTGGCGCCACCTAGCGACCAGGAAAAAAAAAGTCACTAACACCCTATAAAACAGGACATTTCTTAAGACTGCTTGAAAAGGCAGAAGGTTTCTGGAGGACCAGTGGCCAGCCGGAAGTTATTCCACGCCAGGCCCCTTCCGACCAGCAGTCTGAGCCCACAGAGGGAGCAGGCACCCACGTCCGGGGCAGACCGGGTGCGCAGAAGAGTGTGCCTGAAACCGGAGGCGCAGGGACTGCATCCCGCTTCGCCATTTGAGAACAGGGACATTTCTTCAGTAAAAACTGCCTAAAACCAGCAGAAAGCTCCCCCAGAAGACAGAGATGGCTCCTGGAAGAGCCAGAGGGGAGCGGAGAAGTTCACCCAAGATGTCAGTCAGTCCGAGCAACACAGTGTCCCAACGCATACGACAAATTAGAAAACAGACAGTAGGGAGTAGAAGAACCACACGCAACCTAAAAACTCCTCAGGAAAGAAGCACACCACAAAAAGAAAACCACTCCCCAGATTGCAACGACAGCAACTTGGAAGAACTTCTGAGCCTTCCAGAAAGAGAATTTAAAATTGCCATGATTAAAAAAGTGATAGATCAGAAGAAGGAAATTGAGTCCCTAAAGAGGGAAGTAAGAGAAATGCAGGAGATCAAAGAATTAATGGAGGAACTAAAGAACTCTGGGAAAAGCAATGAAAGCAGAATAGATGAAATGGAAGAACGAATAAGTAATCTTGAAGACACAGAAATAAAAAGAACCAAAACAGAAAAGGAAAGAGAAGTACGAAGGAAAAAGAATGAAGAAAGACTTCGGGAACTATCTGACTCCATGAGGAAAGGAAATATAAGAGTTATAGGAATTCCAGAAGGAGAGGAGAGAGATGTAGGAACAGAGAAATATTCATGGATATAATTGAAGAGAACTTCCCAAATGAGAAGAAGGAGCTGAAAATTGATATACAAGAAGCAAGAAGAACACCAAACTTCCACGACGAAAGGAAAAACACAGCAAGACACATAATAGTAAAGCTCCCAAGAATCCAGGACAAGGAAAAAATAATGAAGCTGACAAGAGGAGAGAAACAGATAACATTCAAAGGAAAACCAATCAGGCTGACATCAGACTTCTCTGAAGAAACACTACGGGCAAGGAGAGAGTGGAGGGACATAGTCAACAGACTCCAAGAAAACAGATGCCAACCAAGAATACTCTATCCCGCAAAGCTCTCTTTCCTCCATGAAGAAAGAATATGGACCTTCCCAGACAAAGAGAAACTCCGGAATTTCATTGCGACTAAACCCCCACTCCAAAAAATACTACAAGGAATCCTAAAGCCAGAACCTCAGAGGGACGAATAACAACGAAAGAAGACCAAAAAAAAAAAAATTATTAAAAGAATAAATAAATAAAATCAAAGGAAAGACAAACATAATGGCAAATACAGATGCTAACATATCAATATTAACTCTAAATGTAAATGGACTAAACTCTTCAATAAAAAGACACAGAGTTGCAGCCTGGATTAAGAAACAAAACCCAACCTTTGCTGTCTCCAGGAAACACATTTAGCTACAAAAGATAAAATAGGCTCAAAGTCAAAGGATGGAAAACAATCCTACAAGCAAATGGCCAAAAAAGAAAGCAGGAACAGCTATACTTATATCAGATAAAACAGACTTCAAACTCAAAAAAATAAAAAGAGACCCCAATGGTCACTACATTATGATCAAGGGGACAATACTTCAAGAAGAAATAACACTCATTAACATATACTCACCAAACGAAAGAGCACCAAAATATATCAGACAACTGTTGTCCTCTCTGAAAACAGACATCAGAGAAAACACATATGTAGTGGGAGACTTCAACACACCACTATCAACAATGGATAGATCAACAAGACAAAAAATAAGTAAAGAAACTAAAGCTCTAAATAAGGACCTAGAGCATTTGGGCTTAACAGACATCTATAGAACACTAAACCCAAAAAAAATGGAGTACACATTTTTCTCAAGCGCACACGGATCATTCTCCAGGATCGATCACATACTGGGGCACAGACAAACATCAACAGATACACCAAGATTGAAATCATACCAACCATCTTTTCTGACCACGAAGGCATCAAACTAGAAATAAATCATAAAAAGAAGGCAAGGAACTATCCTACCTCATGGAGATTAAAAGCCACACTACTGGAAGACCACTGGACTAACGAGGAGATCAAAGAAGAAATTAAAAAATTCTTTGAATTGAATGACAAGGAGGACACCAATATCCTAAATGTATGGGATGCAGCAAAAGCAGTAATAAGAGGAAAATATATAGCAATAGAAGCTCACATCAAAAAACAAGAAAGAACTCAAAGAAACAACCTAATCTCAAAGCTCAAAGATCTAGAAAAAGAACAACAAAAAAACCCCAGAACCAGTAGAAGAAAAGAAATAATAAAAACCAAAGCAGAAATAAATGAAATTGAAACTAAAAAAACAATCCAAAAGATCAATGAAACCAAGAGCTGGTTCTTTGAAAAAATAAATAAAATAGACAGCCCCTAGCCAGGCTCACAAAGGAAAAAAGGGAGAAAGCACAAATACACAGAATCATAAATGAAAGAGGAGAAATCACAACGGACACAGCAGAAATCAAAAGAATAATCAGTAACTACTATGAACAGTTATATGGAAACAAGTTCAACAATCTAGAGGAGATGGACAAATTCCTACAACTCTACAATCACCCAAAGCTAGATAAAGAAGAAATAGAACACCTAAACAGACCAATTACAAGCAGCGAAATTGAAATGGTAATTAAAAACCTCCCCAAAAACAAAAGCCCAGGACCTGATGGATTTACAAATGAATTCTACCAAACATTCAGAGACGAATTAGTGCCTATCCTTCACAAACTCTTCCAAAAAATTGAGAAGGAAGGACAATACCAAACACGTTCTATGAAGCCAATATTACACTAATACCAAAACCGAATAAGGACAACACAAAAAGGAAAACTATAGGCCAATCTCCCTAATGAACACTGATGCAAAAATCCTCAATAAAATTTTAGCTATCAGAATCCAACAATGTATCCATAAGATAATTCACCACGACCAAGTTGGATTCATTCCAGGGGCACAAGGATGGTTTAACATCCGAAAATCAATCAACGTTATCCAACACATCAAAAAAGAAATATAAAAACCATATGATAATATCAATAGATGCTGAGAAAGCTTTCGACAAAGTGCAACACCCATTCATGATAAAAGCCCTTGAAATTCTTGGATACAAGGAACATACCTCAACATCATAAAGGCCATCTATGACAAGCCAACAGCCAGTATCATTCTCAATGGTGAAAAGCTGAAAGCAATTCCATTAAGATCTGGAACAAGACAAGGATGTCCACTCTCACCACTGCTTTTCAATATAATACTGGAAGTCCTAGCCAGAGCAATAAGACAAGAGAAAGACATCCAAGGAATCCAAATAGGAAAAGAAGAAGTCAAACTATCACTATTTGCAGATGATATGATAATATACATAGAGAACCCCAAAATCTCCACAGAAAAACTAATTCAACTCATCAATCAATTCAGTAAAGTGGCAGGATACAAAATCAACACGCAAAAGTCAGTGGCCTTCCTATACACAAACAATAAATCTGAAGAAGAAGAAATCAAAAAAACCACCCCTTTTATTATCGAAACAAAAAAAATCAAATATTTGGGAATAAATCTAACAAAAGAGGTAAAGGACCTATACAAAGAAAACTATAAAACGCTGTTAAAAGAAATAGAAGAAGACACAAAGAAATGGAAAGACATCCCCTGCTCATGGATTGGAAGAATAAACATTATTAAAATGGCCATCCTACCAAAAGCAATATACAGATTCAATGCTATTCCAATCAAAATCTCAATGGCATTCTTCAAAGAAATAGAACAATTATTGATGAAATTCATATGGAATCACCAAAAACCCCGAATAGCCAAAGCTCTACTGAAAAAAAAAGAAGGAAATGGAGGCATCACACTCCCAGACTTCAAACTATACTACAAAGCCATAATCATCAAAACTGCATGGTATTGGAACAAGAACAGACATACAGACCAATGGAATCGAATAGAAAATCCAGAAATAAACCCACAGATTTATGGTCAACTAATCTTTGACAAAGGAGCAAAGACTATGCATTGGAGCAAAGAAAGTTTGTTCAATAAATGGTGCTGGGAAAACTGGGTCGCTACATGCAAAAGAATGAAGCTTGACCACTACCTCACACCATACACAAAAATCAACTCAAAATGGATTAAAGAACTAGACATAAGACCTGAAACCATAAAATACATAGAAGGAAATATAGGCGAAACACTACGGGATTTGCACATCAAAGACATCTTTACAGACACATCACCCAAAGCAGTGATAGTGAAGAGAAAGATAAACAGCTGGGACTACATCAAATTAAAGAGCTTCTGCACAGCAAAAGAGACAATAACAAAAACAAAGAGAAACCCCACCAACTGGGAGAACATTTTTGCACCCAACACTAATGATAAAGGACTGATCACAAAAATCTGCAAAGAGCTGATGAGACTCAGCAACAACAAAGAAAATAATCCAGTCAAAAAATGGGCAGAAGAGCTAAAAAGAAACTTCTCTGAAGAGGAAATGCAAATGGCCAACAGACATATGAAAAAATGTTCAACATCACTTGTAATCAGGGAAATGCAAATCAAAACTACCATGAGATACCATCTCACACCAGTGAGAATGGCACATATTAAAAAAACTAGCAACAACAAATGTTGGCGAGGATGTGGAGAAAAAGGAACTCTTGTGCACTGTTGGTGGGAGTGCAAACTGGTCCAACCACTATGGAGAGCTGTGTGGAGATTTCTGGACCTACTAAACATAGAGCTTCCATATGATCCAGCAATTCCACTCCTAGGTATTTACCCAAAGGACACAGAAACATCAATTCCAAAGAGCACCTGCACTCCTATGTTTATAGCAGCACTGTTTACAATAGCTAAGCTTTGGAAACAACCCAAATGCCCAAAAATAGATGACTGGATCAAGAAGATGTGGTACATATATACCATGGAATATTACTCAGCATTCAAAAAAGATAAACACATGCAATTTGCAGCAACATGGATGGCACTGGAAGGGATCATGCTCAGCGAAATAAGCCAAAAAGAAAAAGAAAAATACCGGATGGTCTCACTCATAGCAGGAATCTAGAAAACTTAAATAAGGGACCAGGAAAATGAATATAAGAAAGTGAAAATCAAAATCAACAAAAAAACTATGAACCAGAGACACTTTTTGGGGGTGGGGGGCGGGAGGGGAAGGATTGGGGTCAGAATGGGGCGTTTGCAATTGTATGGGGAATATAAAAATAAATTTAATATTTAAAAAAAAAAAAAAAAAAAAAAAGAATGAGGTCTGGCAGTCATGGCAGCATCAACCTCAGACATGGATGAAAAAGTTACAAAACCAAATCCTCTTGATCTTTTGCTTGTAGGATCTCTCATTACCACACAGTCTGTAAGTTTTCCCCATTGTTCGTAGTAATTCCTCAAACTTTCTTCTGTGGTTTCAAAGCTCAAGCCGCCAATAAAGAGTTTAGGGAACTGTTCCTTTTCTCTCTCCATCACAGACTCAGTCGCTTCAGCCCGATTTCCCGCAGCCGAGCGAGATGAAAGAGATCTCCGCGGACGAACACGAACAGGACTGGTCCTGGCGCTGTAGTGAGAACTGCTGCTGCTCGAGAAACAACACCGCTAAGAGCACCTCCGCTCGTGACCCGGCGCTGCTGCTACTCCAGAAATTCTTAACAGGGGTCTGCACTCAGTTATAGCAAAGACTATTTTGCCGAGAGATAAACAGCTTATAATTTGGGGCTGTGTTTCTTGTTCAAAACAAAATGTTCCAACAGTAAACAAACACGAGTTGAAAGAGGGAAGGGTAGTTTGTAGTGGGTTAGGTGGTAGTTCCCAAAAAAGATTTGTCAACATCCCAAATCTTGCAATCTGGGAATGTGAACTTACTTGCAAAACAGGGTCTTTGCAGGACCCCTGGTGCCGCAGGAGTTAAAGACACAGCGCTATTGCCAGCCACTGTAGCACGAGTTAGATCCCCTGCTAGCCAGGGAGCTCCCCTCAGCAGTGTATTTCAGTAGATCTGCCTATTCTGCAACCCATTCTCTCTGGTGAAGCCTCTCCCTGCCCTCCACCACCGGTCGTGCCTCTGGCCTACACCCCAGTTTTTGTATGCATACATAAATAAATCTTAAAAAAAAAACAAACAGGGTCTTTGCACATGTAAATAAGGAGCAAAAGACAGATCATTCTCAAATTATACAGGTGGCCCCTAAATCCAATGACAAATGTTTTTAGAAAAGACAGAAAAGACTCATGAGATGACCACGGGAAGATGGAGGCAAACACCAGTGTTGCAGCCACAAACCCAGAATGCCTAGAGCCACCAGTAGCTGGAAGAAGCATAGAAGGATCCTCTCCCAGTCTTCAGAAGGAGTGTGGCCCTGCTGACACCTTGATTTCCAGATTCTGGAGATGTTCTCTAAGAACAACTGTGTATTAAAAGAATACACTTCTTTTAAAATCCCCCTTTGTGGTACTTTGTGACAGCAATATGGAAACCAGCACCAGCTATTATGTTAACTGATTCTTAGCCATCAGTAACCAGAGTGATGCTCAAAAAATACTTCATGTTCAAATGCAAAATGCACTGCTGATACACTGTCCTTTTTTTGTATTTTAATATTGGCTTTCAAAAAATCTGTATTTGCTTTCATCTCAAATAGTAAACAATTTTTTCATGACACTTTGGAATGTGCAGCTATGTGGCTGGTTTCAAGTGCATATGATCTGGGAAAAGCATTTTGATTGTTACAATGTTTGTTATGATCACCAGCCATGAAGCCATTTTACAGTATCTGAAGACTTACAAACTACACCGCCCACTTTTTAGAGTTGTTTCAGGGAAAATCCACACCTGGGATTTGTCATCTTTTTCCTGGTCCCAATCCTTAGACTCTGTTAGAGACTTCTCCATTTTCTTAAGTGATGTTAAGTTCCAGTCATACTCAATGCTGCCGGACTCAATCACCTGACTGTCAATTTTCACTTCATAAGTGAGATCTGGCCTTAATATCAGAGTGTAGAGGTGGGTGAATCCATCAACCTGCATATTTGAGAGGAGTAAAAAGATCAGAGTGAAAGCCTTGGCGAGACAAGATAGGTCTAAATATGTAGTTTACGTCATCATTGGTCACAGTTTCATTATAAACAACAAAGTTCTATAAGAGACAAAGCCAAAGTCCTTTTGCGTCCCCTTTCCTTGGGACAGGTAGCCATAGCTCTAGAGTCTGCTCAGTGTCCCCCTTGGTCTTTGTAACCCCAAGGACAACCACACACATGCTTCTTGTAAATGCTCTCCCTAGCCCCCTCCCCCTTTCCTCTCGACCACCTTTCCTAATTTAGACTTTGGCCCATTGCCTGATTGCTGCCAGGATTTGGTGACTAGTGCTGAGTCTCCCTAAGTATCGTACCTGCTCCTAACCATGTGCAAACAGCTCCAAACCAGAATTTTAATATACCAACCAGTGGCCTGACCTTCAGACTCAAGCTTCCAACAACTTATGGGACATTTCTACCTGGAATTCTGCCAGGATTTCATAATCGATTGTTCTAAACACAAATTTGGAGTCTTCCCTGGCCCCTCCTTAGCTTTTGTTTCTCTTTCTGATTAACAGCAACAGCTCTGAGAGTCATTGTCCACCTCCTCACGCCCAGATCTCACACATCACTAAGTCCTCTAAAGTATTTGTCAAAACACTCTTGTGTTCTGCATCCCACCGAAAACTGGCCTAACAGTTTCACCCATCTCTCTACCTGCCAATGGCCCTATCCCTCTACCTGCCTTCCCTAGAACAGCTGAGGTATTTTCTGATTTTTTTTCTAATTATTATTATTTTTTAAAGCATCCTTTTCTTTTCTTTCTTTTTTCCTTTTTTTTTTACAATATAGGATTTCTCCCCTCAGGTGTGGTCAACATAGTTCTCCCACCACCAAAGCACCCATAGTCCTCTACCATAGTCCACTTAGCTGAGGTATTTTCTATCAAGCAGATGGGATGTCCTCCTTGAAAACCCAAGGGCTAAGCACTGCCTTCAGGGATTTTTCCTTTGAGCATCATAGAATAAACCAGCCTATAAAGGTCACTGTGTGCCTCCCCACAAATGTGACACCAACTAGCTGCTGTGAATTCATGCTCCTTTAACAGATGGGTCTTCTGTAAGGTCATGGAAACAGCAGCACACATCTGAGGATATCAGCAGCCCAGGACTCTATGTACCTGCTAACTCCAGTCTAGTGTTGGCCTCCCCAGGAGGGACCTTGCAACCTCTGTAGTGACATTCGCATCTTGCACACAACTTATGTGCAACTGATTAGTTTCTTGGGATTTAATCATAAAGACCTGCTTAGGACAAATACTAAGGGAAGGGGGAACAGAAGGACTGTGAGCTCTCCTTGCCCCCAAGGGAGGAGTATCAGATCATAGCATACTGGGGGATGCAATGATCCTTTAGTGCAACCTTGGGGTGGGGCCACAAGAGGCACCTCATTGTCAGCAGTGACTCACTGGGGCTTTGTAAAGAAGCCCAGCACCCCCTGCTCAAATTGAGACTAGTAAGGGATGGATGGACCGGCAGCCACTCCATACCACCAATAATGACCTTGAAACACATGCGGCTGCCTGTCTAGATTCATCCATGTTCACAAAGAACTCAGATGTTGGAGTTCTGGGTGCTGGGGATGCATCAGGGGATGGTTCTCTGCTTCCTGAGAATATTAAAATGGGGGTTGGGGAGTCCTCACAGGCCTCCACAGGCCAAGGACCAAGGCAAGCTACCTCATCAGAGAAGTCCCTGACCACTGAGTTGTAAAGCAGGCCCTGAGGCATAAGGTGTTATTTTCACAAGATTCCCTGGTTAAAAAGGTAAGAAAGTATGGTTTAATTTTAGAAATAGCACCATTTTTAAAAATTTGTTTATTTATGCATACAAGATCTGGGTATAGGCCAGAGATGCGGAGAAGGGGGTGGTGAAAGGATTCACCAGAGACAGAGGAGGGAGCAGAACAGGCAGATCTACTGAAATACACTGCTGAGGGGAGCAGCAGGTGGGATAGGAGAGATCTGCTGCGCCATGTGGGTCAGCTCCCTGGCTGGGGGTTGAACTCATGCTACAGTGGCTGCTGATAACTTCAGAGTGCTGAGACTTAACCCCTTGTGCCACCACAGAGACCCAAATAGCACCATTTTTAAATGTTCTGGTATTTTGATGAATAATTGCTCCAGGATTTTTTTTCTCATTTGAATATTGTATTCTTTGGAGAGAATGGATATGGCTGAAATGTATCCATCCTGTTGGAGCCCTTATGGGGCAAATGATTGTAGGATAGCAAAGTTCATGGTAAAAAGAAGCATGGCCACCCTATTGGGAATAAACTTCAGAATTCAAATCAAAGCCACAGACAAGTGTCTCTAGTGGGCCAGATGATGTTTGTTAAGATCTATCACTGGTAAGATTTCCTCAGTAAATCTTTAAAAAATATATTTAATTAAGAAATTTATTTTCATTGAAATATAATTGACATAATGATATATTAGTTTCAGGAATGCAACATAATGATTTGATGTTTGTATGCAATGCAGAATGATAACCACAATAAGTCTATATCTCATCTAATCTTAGCAATTTCACTTAAATATTTTATGATCAACAAACTATTTTCTTTTTATTCTTTTTTTTTCCCAAAAAGATTTATTTTATCCATGCATACAAGAGCTGGGGCACAGGCCAGAGATGTGGGGGGTGAGAGGATTGATTCACCAGAGACAGAGTGGGGAACAGAACAGGTAGACTGACTGAAATACACTGCTGAGGGGAGCAGCGGGTGAGACAGGAGAGGTCTGCTGAGCCATGTGGGTTTCTCCCTGGCTGGCCAGGGATTGTGCTACAGAGGCTGAGGATTGCTTCAGAGTGCGGTGCTTGACTCCTTGCGCCACCAGGGAGGCCCGCAATAAACTATTTTCTCAAAGCTTCTGTTATGATCCGGCAAGAGTTAACACAATCATTGATTTGAATACAAAAACATTTACCTTACACCGGATTGATTTCTTGTTTGCGTGATACTGATTCTTGAAATGTAAAATAACATGAACTTTCTTGATATCAAATCCACAAATATCAGGGCCTACAAAAAAAATTAGCTGCTTTCAATTTCCTTCTATAATGCATCACTGCAGGATACCCCCAAACATTCTCCTGAAATACCGTTGTTTGTCACTCAACGACAGGGACATGTTCTGAGAAATGCATCCTTAGGTAATTCTACTGTGCAAACATCATAGGGTAGAATGACACAAAGCTAGATGCTCCAGCTTTTACACACTTGGCTATGTGATACAGCCTGTTAGGACCACCATCATAATCAAGATTCACTGCTGACGAAAATGTTATTAAGCAACATGTAACTGTATACAAGACATGGGAGAGTTGCACAATCAGGAATAAACTGATATTCACATAGAGATACTGAAATGAACTGTGACACCCTTCTCTATTCAGGTCACTTTTCTGTCCTCTCCAGTCACTTTGGACTTCCGTAAACCAGCATGTGAGTCAGAAAAAGAACATCTATGAGTGACAAACACCCTGATATGAGGTCCTTATTCTAAAACTCTGACCAGTTTAGCTGTGCCCAGGTAAGGGCTTCAGAGCAGGACTGATTGGTTCCATTCACTGTGTG